TGCCTGGCTAAAAGCAAACAAGTCTGCGTTAGCAGTTAAAAGTTCACAGAACTTACCTGATTCTTGAAGTTTGCAGCCGATGTAAGCTTTCTTGCTGGGGTCTTTTTCGTCTAATTGAACGGGGTCGAGGTCCTCTATGGTCGATCTTGCAGCCTCGACCATGTCAGGGTCTTTCATGAAGTCCTCATTGTTATCGCATACCGACCTTGACCTTGTTGATTGCTATGCCTCTTTTTCTTTATCCTTTGTTTGTTGAGTGGTCGTATAGTCTAGGGCGATGCGGTAGCATTCCTGGGATATGCGTTGTTCCCCTCGTATACTGAATATTCCCCATGAAGTTGGGAATTTGATGACTTGCTACAAGCTGGAGGGGATGTCTCTCACGATGTGTATCCATGGTCGCCCTATTATGACGTTGTATGTCGTGTCCTGGTCCATGATGTGGAATGTGGTTTCCAGAGTGATGCGGAGTGTTATCTTGCCGGATGTTCGCTCAACTGCATTGTTAAAACCTGTTAGTGTGATACAGCATGACACTATCTTGTCCTCGAGTTTCATTTGTGCGAGTACTCGGGGATGGATAATACACACGCCGCTCCCATCGTCTACCATAATCCATCTAACGTAAGTATCTAAAATTAGTAAAGTGATAATGATAGCATCATAGTGAGGGAAAGCCAAACCGTTAGTATCTGACTTATCGAAGATGATTCTTTCTTAGAGTTCATCATACTGTTTGTGGGTGATCAACCGTTTGCGCTTGTGGGTTGTGGTGAACTTCACACTGTTGATGGAAGCGTCATCCACGCCACCGATGATCATATGGATAGTGCGGGCTGGCGTGGGCAGTTTTGGCGGCCCTTGATGTTGTTTGCGTCCCCTGGAAAAGTTAGTCCTTCCCCGATCGCTCAACAATTCTTTGAGGTGTCCCTGTTGCAGCATGTTTACGACCTCCTGTCTTAGGGCGATGCAATCTTCGGTTTTGTGTCCTCGCTCTTGATGGAACTCGCAGAGGGTATCTGATTTTCTGGTATTCGGGTCTGAACTCATTTTTTGTGGCCACTTCACCTTTGGTCTGAGCTTCTCCAAGGCGTAGACTATCTCTGTAGGTGACACATAAAAATTATGAGCGGATAACAAAGGGGCATACCTCTCTCATTTCGGTGAGTCCCTATCCTTGAATGGGGTGGGCCTTCTTCAAGGCGGGATGAGGATGCAGCGGTGGCTTTGACGTACGGGAGATGTCATTCCTGATTTGGTCGTGAGGCCATGGGGTCTCTTCTGATATCATTTTTTCGATCTTTTTCGGATTCTGCTTGCACCGAGGTCAGTCGATGGGTCGCCCCATTGAGGTTATCTTCGTCTGCTCGAACTTCGGCACAATATGCGTTATGTATTTTGTCCCATGTCATTGGGGGATAAAAAAAGGTTCTTGTTTTTGTTTTTTACATTAATGACTAGTATCGATTGTAGATCTAGAAGAAACTAAAAGACTTAACTAGAAAATCCCCACAGATGGCGCCAAACTGTTTGACCAAAAAGTGTAACTTTCGGCTAAACTATTAAATTTAAGTAATAATGGATTAAATCTAGTTAAAGATAATAACTCTAGATTCAAATCTGGAAAACGTGTGGGGGATGGGGACAGATCCCGTAAAAGATTGATGACAATAAGTACAAAATATTCTTAAAGTATGAGTAATAATGGAGATATAACTAGCAATAAATAACAGTAAATGGCATTTAAGTAAAGAGGAGAAATGATTCACCCAATAATGGATGGATTGGACGAATGTTTCTCTTGACAATGATGAATGACAGATAGATCCGAGATTTGCTTTGATCAATCCTCGGATCTAGTGGAACGGTGTGGAATAATATGAGCAAGAATCTTGATAAAAAGGTAATTTTTGTATTTTTACAAGAGAGAGAGAATCTTCCTTTGAAAAGTGTCCTTATCAAATGAATATTACATGCCTTTATTCTCTTTTCTTTTACCCTTATATATTTGACACATATCCCTAGCAAACCTTAGTAGTACAAGTGCAGCGAATATTCACTAGAATATTCTCTCTAATATCCTATTTTGAAAACTAGTCGTTGTTGTTCTTTACACGATGCTCGACCTCGGTCATGGTTGACATCTCAGCCACGAATCTTTCTTCTCCCTGGTCGGGCTCGACCGACTCTTTTCTTAATATTGTATTACGCTAAATATCCTTAGGACAGATTTTGGCCTATACAGGTAGGTCGTGGTTTTTAATCTCGTGAGTTGAGAGTTGTTCACGTAAATATCATTGTGTTATTTACTTATTGCTGTATTATGTGGGAACAGATAGAGAACCAGGTTCTCTATACAGTTTGGTGGACTCTTAGTTTACAACAAGTGTTTATTGCGAGTGTTCCATAGATGCCATAATATGAAAGGAATGAGTTGTGGCCTGTGGGTAAGGAATTAAAGAAAATTTTGGACAGCCATTTGCGTGAATGAGTTGCTTAAGCCAAACATAAGTAGGGACTACTTTTGGATGAAGGTTGTTAATAATAGTCCATAATTTCATAAAATTCCAGCAGTGTCGTGCATTGTTACATTTGAAAACAATATGAGTAATTATTTCAAAATTATGTTGGCTAGGGGTGTACATGGATCGAGTTGGTTCGGATTTTATTAATGCCAAACCAAACCAATTATCTCATTTTGGATTGTTTCGGTTTTGTCAGATTTTTCGGGGTTTTCGGATTTTTTTGTTACATGAATATTATGTCAATCTTGCATTATTAAAGTTATAGATAAAATTTTGATAAGTGAATATATGTTTACTAAAAAGTAAAAAAAAAATAACAAACATATGATCTATTAAAGTGGTCTTATGGGAGAATTATTTTTAGTAACACATAATAGTTTATTTTCTTAGTCGTCTACCAATAATTTTTTGTTGATGTACGCTTTCAGGGTTAACCAAATTTAATAATTAAACATAAAAATCAATATGATACCAAATAATGATATGTTCTATGTAATTTTAGATTATCGAAATACCACTTCAAATTCGAAAAATATATAATAAATCTTGACATATGAATATGAAAGAACAAAGAGATGATTGACCATTTCAATAACACATAATAAGAAAGTGATACAATCTATTATTTAAAGTAAATAAAAATGAATACATTTTATAGTTCTATTAAATATTATATCCCATGAGAGGATCTCAAATATTTCTAGACATTTTTAAATAAAATTCTATATAAAGTCTTAAAATTATATATTTATATGTCGATTTAGTTCGAATTTTTTTACTCAATACCAAACCAAATCAAATCAAACCTAGTCGAGTTTTTTAATCGGTTTGATTTAACTTTTCGATTTGGTGCGATTTTCCGGTTTAGTTTTTACACCCTAGTGTTGACAAAATGGTACAGACATTTGAAGTAGTAACTCCTATCCTATTTAAGTATGTGTGGGGAGATGGTTGTGATTGATCAACCATAGGAAAGTTTTAACTTTTGGCGGGATGTGTAGACGCCAAATCCAACCATGGATGTTATCTAGCCATGATGATTGAGTGATTGTTTTGTAGCAAGAATTAATAAACTGACCCGTCGGTGTAAGTCCCAAGATGATTCTATCCGGGTGTATTGAGTATATTGGCATATAATAATTGCAAAGACGATCTATGAATTTTTTGGGTTATCTCAAAAGATACTGGATAATTGTGACTTATGTATTTGTTGAACATGTTGACTTCCTTTAATTGGTCTTCCTGATATTGAAATGGTCCTTTAATAAGGCTACGAATACTAAGGTTTGAAGCTAGCCAATTTTCAGTCCAAAATTTGACATGAGTTCCTTGTGTCACGTGTCATACCAGATCTTTTTGACACACTGCCCATCCTAATGAAATGTAGAGGTTCGTTTAAGAGGGTAATGATTCAATGGGGAATATAAATGGAGGCCCATGTGGCATATGGGTTGTGGAATAATCTCTAAGAAGTACTAGCCAGTAATGCTTGATATTTTTCCTTTAGCTTTTGAATGCCTAGACCGCATTCCTCTTTGGGAGTAGTTATTGTATCCTATTTAATAATATGTAATCGTTTTTCTGTACTGTAGTACCCCATAGAAAATTCTTTTGATAGCGTTCTAGTTTTGTGATAATATGTGATAGTAATGAGATAAATTGCATTATGTGATTTGGCATTGAGTTTAAAGTAACCTTTATAAGGGCAGTACGACCTGCCATTGTGAGGTGCTTTATTTTCCATCCCACCAGTTTATTTTTAAAGTTGTCAATAATAAATTGGTAATCTCTCTTTGTAGGCTTTGAGTTAAAGATTGGGAATCTCGGATATTTTCCAAAAGATTTACCCTCTACCATATTGAAAGATGTAAGTATAAAAGTTTTGTGAGCCTGTGCACAGTATTTTAAAAAGAAAACTTTTGATTTTTCAAAATTGATCTTTTGGCCTGAGAGCTTTGTGAAATGGTCAAGGTGATCTATAATGGCATGACAACTATTGGTATTAATTTTGGAAGCTAAAATAATGTCATTTGCAAGAACAAGTATGATTCCTCGGGTGGAGCTGGGGGAGGGGTCCAGGGGTGGGAATGGGGGTAAGAAAGTTTTAGGCTGAGAGTTGGGTCTTGAAAAATTGGGACATTAACGGTGAAGTCTATAGAGTTAGGTAAGATTCTTCAGAAGAGGAAGATTAACATAGCGTGTGTTCAGGAGACTAGATGGAAGGGTACTAGGGCACGAGATATAGACGGGTTTAAACTATGGTACTCAGGAAGCGCTGGGGGTAAGAATGTGGTAGGTATTTTAGTAGACAAGGACCTCGGGGAGCTCATGGTTGAGGTTAAGAGGGTAAATGATAGGTTGATGAGTATTAAGCTGGTAGTTGGTGGGTTTACTATAAACGTGATTAGTGCATACGCTCCTCAGATAGGTTTGGACTAGGAGGTCAAGAAGCAATTCTGGGAGGATTTGGACGAGATGGTGCGTAGTATCCCACACACAGAGAAGTTGTTCATTGGCAGAGATTTCAGTGGCCATATTGGGGCTAGTGCTAGGGGTTATGATGATGTGCATGGCGGGTTCAGTTTTGGGGATAGGAATGAGGGAGGTAATTCACTGTTGGATTTTGCTAGAACTTTTGATTTGGTTATAGCTAATTCGAGTTTTCCGAAGAAGGAAGAGCACCTGGTCACTTTCCGGAATTCAATGGGCAAGACTCAGATTGATTATCTCCTCTGCAGGAAATGCGATAAAGGTCTGTGCACTGACTGTAAGGTCATCCCAAGTGAGCACCTCACGACCCTACATAGGCTCCTAGTTATGGACCTGGAGATCAAGAGGAGTAGGAGGAAGAGGGCGGGGTGCAGGCAACCTACGATCAAGTAGGGTAACTTGACCAAGGACAAAGCTCGGGAGTTAGGGGAGAAGTTATTGGCTATAAGGGCCTGGAAGAGTAGGGGAGACGCGTCTAGTATGTGGTTCACGACTGCGAATTGCATTAGGGTAGCTGCTAGAGAGGTCCTAGGGGTCACGAAGGGCTCTCCTAGGGGTCATAAAGGGGACTGGTGGTGGAATTGAGAGGTTCAAGGTAAAGTGGAAGCTAAGAAAGCTGTTTATTTGAAGCTAGTGGAGAGTACAAACGAGGAGGAAAAAAGGACTTATCAGGAGTGTTACAGAAAGGCAAAGAAAGAGGCAAAGTTAGCAGTTACGACGGCTAAAAATGCGACGTTTGCTCGTTTGTATGATGAGCTCGGGGGCAGAGACGGGGACAAAAAGTTGTACTGGTTGGCCAAGGTGAGGGAGAGGAAAACCCGTGACTTAGACCAAGTCAAGTGCATCAAGGACGAGGATGGCAAAGTGTTGATGGACGAGGAACTTATTAGGAGAAGATGACAGACATACTTCCATAAACTATTGAACGAGGAGAGGGATAGAAGCATTGTGCTGGGTGAGTTGGAGCACTCTGAGAGTCGGCGGGATTTTGGGTACTGTAGGGGAATTACAGTAGAAGAGGTGGAAGGGGAGATGCGTAAGATGTACAGAGGCAGAGCGACGAGGCCAGACGAACTCCCGGTGGAATTCTGGAAGAGCGCGGGGCGGGCAGGTTCGGAGTGGCTCACTGGGCTGTTTAATGTTATTTTTAAGACGAAGAAGATGCCCTAAGAATGGAGGTGGAGTACGATGGTTCTGCTTTACAAGAACAAGGGTGATATCTAAAATTGCAACAATTATAAGGGTATCAAGTTGTTGAGTCATACTATGAAGGTTTGGAAGAGGGTGATTGAGGCCAGGGTGAGGAGGTATGTGTCTATTTTCGAGAATTAGTTTGGATTCATGCTGGGGCATTCGACTACGGAAGGGATTCATTTGGTAAGGAGATTAGTGGAGCAATATAGGGAGAGGAAGAAGGATTTGCATATGGTGTTTATTGACCTTGAGAAAGCATATGATAAAGTCCCGAGGGAGGTACTGTGGAGGTTAGCGGCATTCCGGTAGCATATATTAGGGTGATTAAGGATATGTATGATGATTCTAAGACTCTAGTAAGGATTGTGGGTAGTGACTCGGAGCATTTCCATGTGGTGATGGGGTTGCATCAGAGATCGGCTCTTAGCCCCTTTTTATTTGCCTTGACGATGGATGTACTGTCGCGACACATCCAAGGGGAGGTTCCTTGGTGCATGCTATTTACCGATAATATAGTATTGATTGACGAGACGCGAAGTGGAGTTAACGTGAGGTTGGAGGTTTGGAGACATACCTTGGAGTATAAAGGTTTCAAACTGAGTATAATCAAGACAGAATACTTGGAGTGCAAATTTAGTGACGGGACCCATGATGCATACATAGAGGTTAAGCTTGATTCTCAAGTTATCCCAAGAGAGCGAGTTTTAAGTATCTTGGGTCTATTATCCAGGGTAACAGAGAGATTGACGAAGATGTCGCACATCACATCAAAGCGGGATGGATGAAGTGGAGGCTCACTTTCGGTGTTTTATGTGATAAGAATGTGCCGCCAAGACTTAAGGGTAAGTTTTATCGAGTGGTGGTTTGACCAGCTATGTTGTATGGGGATGAGTATTGGCCAGTCAAGAACTCCCACGTGAAGAAGATGAAAGCAGCAGAGATGAGGATGTTGAGATGGATGTGTGGGTGTACCAGGAGAGATAGGATTAAGAATGAAGCTATCCGGGACAGAGTGGGAGTAGCTTCCGTGGAGGACAAGATGCGGGAGTCGAGGATGAGACGGTTCAAACATGTTAAGAGAAGAAGCATTGATGCTCCTGTCAGGAGGTGTGAGAGGTTGGCCATGGAGAGTTTGAGAAGAGGTCAAGGTAAGCCTAAGAAGTACTAGGGAGAGGTGATTAGACAGGACATGGCACTGCTTCAGCTCACTGAGGACATGACCCTTGATAGGAGGGTGTGGAGGTCGAGGATTAAGGTAGAAGGTTAGTGGGTAGTTTTTAGTTGTTCACCAATAGTCTTAGTAGCATGCATGTCCATTCATATTCTTAGATTTTTATTACGTTATGTGGTTTTGTTCGCCTCAGGTATTGTATTCTCTATTGCTATTATTTGGTACTACTTATCTTTTATCTCTCCCTTTTTCTTTTCTCTTCCTTCTTTCTTCCTTCCTTGCTTTCCTCTTCTTCTTCTTGCCCTTCCTGAGCCGAGGGTCTATTGGACATAGTCTCTCTACCTGCATTAGGTAGAGGTAAGGTCTGCGTACAGACTACCCTTCCCATACCCCACTTGTTGGGATCATACTGGGTTTGTTATTGCAAGAATAAGTATGATATGGGTGGGGCTTTCCTATTCAATGATATAAGATGACATTGATTGTAATCTACAACAATATTTATGCTTCATGCAAACATTTTCATACTAAGAATGAATAGGTATAAAGAAAGAGGGTCGCCTTGCCTAATACCTTTTGTTGGTTGCAAAAGTTGGTGAACCATTAAATAGAATTGAGGTTGTTGGTGTAAATACACTGGACATAATGGGTGTGATTAATTAAGGCGGGAAGTTGAAATATGTTAGGGTTTGGTGGATAAAATCTCATTCCAGTCTATCATATTCTTTTTCAAGATCGATTTTGAGTAACATATTTGAGCATTTAGACTTGGATCGATTTTCTAAAGTGACGAAGGATTTCTTGCACTATAATCGCATTATCCGATGCTCGATGATTTTTCTGAAAGGCTGATTGCGATGGATGGATAAGTTGATCTAGAAAAGGCTTAATACGATTAACAATTAATTTGGAAATGACTTTATAGATGGTATTGCATAAACTAAATGGTCTAAAGTGAGAAGTTGTTGAAGGACTTTGAATTTTAGGAATTAAACAGATGAATGTTTTATTCAATTCTAACGGGATTTGTCCTTCTTTGAAAATATTTTTGCATAAAGCTAGTACTGATTGTTTTATTTGTGGCCAACACTTTTGAAAGAATAATGGGTGAAGTCCATCGGGGCCTGGTGACTTTAATGCTTGAAAAGAATGGACAACACTAAAGATTTTTGCATCTGTTACTGGGAAAGTAAGGGTACATGCACTCTCACTGGGGAACATTTGATATGGGATAATCTTTTATAGACATAGTGTGACGGGTAGTATATAGGTCTTTGTAATAATTTAAGACTAATACCTGAAGTTTTGATTGATCCGAAATTCAATTCCCAATTGAATCTTTTAAAGCAATTATGCGATTACGACGACATCGTTTAATAATAGTTAAGTGGAAGAACCTAGTGTTTGTGTCTCCATCATTAAGCCAAGCACAACATGTGACTTTAATTTCTAAATAGCCTCTTCAAGTTTTAATACGTGATTAAATTGAACAATGAGATCTTTTTCCAACATTTGTAAGAAAGAACTCGTTGGATAGTTGGGAGATATTTGAATACCAGCTAACCTTGCTCTTATTTAGTTTTTTGTTGAAAAATATTATCAAATGTGTCCCTATTCCAGTTTTAACAATATGTGTGAAGTCATCTATGGATTCCATTAAATGAGGGCTGGCTTGCCACACATGGGTAACAATTTGTGAAAATTCTTGGTGTGATAACTACATGGTTTCAAACCTAAAAATATTATTATTCATGGGAGCACCTTTTTGTAAAGATAACATTAAAGAGTAATGATCCAAATTTTTCTAGACTAGTGGTATACTTATGCTTCTGGATATAGATTTAGCCATTCATAGTTTGCTACATTTCTATCAAATCTCTCTAAAATCGTTGCTCATATTCTACGTTTATTGGTCCAAGTGTATTTACTGCATCTATATCCCAATTCTATTAGGTTACAATAATTAAAATAATTTAAAAGTAAATCTGCTCTAGTGTTATTAATTGGACAACCTCCAAATTTTTCGATTGATGAGAGTATATCATTGAAATCACCTCCTACGATCCAAGGACCATTGTAGGTATCTGCTATATACATAAAATTTTTCCAAAATATTTTCTATGTATGTTAAAGACGCACTTGCATAAAACATAAAAGGGTGGCCTTGAGGATATACTTGAACCATGCAATGTCTCTCTTGATTTGTGATTGTTGTTAATTCACACTAACAATATTATTATTCCATAATACCACGATTCCCCCAACATGTCACTCAGTTGGGGCTTAGGAGAGATTGGAAAATTCAAAGGCATCTCTTAGGAATGCATGGTCTTGTAGGTGGGTTTCTAGTAGCACTACCAGTGGTGGCATGTTGTAATTGAGCATAGAGCAAAAGTTCCTTAAAAAATCAGGAGATTGTGCACCTCTACAGTTCCATATGACGAAATTCACAGAATTGTGATGTAGGGGTGGTGCTGGTGGTACTGTCATATGGTCGTCCATAATTTGTTTCTCCCCGTTGGGTGCTTGAGTGGTCTCCTTAAGGGTAGGAGTGATCACCACTACAAATTTCCCTGCCTTTGGGTTCGTTGTGGGTCGTAGTTTGATCAAGCACTTCGTCACTTCCGATGGGAAGTTGAATAAAAACTTTTTGTCGTACTGGTTATTGAGGACGGAGATATGGCAGCCCCTAGCTACACTAGTTCTGTTCTTATTTCTCGCATCTCTTCCATAACTGCTACGATTTCCTGGGGAGTGAGGGTGTCTTGTTCGCTTGGACTTGGTGGATATGGGCTCATTGAGCTGGTGGATGGGGTGAGTGGGTCGAAGGGGCTCATCGGAGACATTAGTAGAATGTGTAGTTGCATGTGCATGTACTCGTGTGTCCAAGGAATTTGGGATTGTTATGGTGGGTAAAAGGGAAGCTCCGCGTTCGTTGGTGGTTGTGGGTTGCTTGAGTATAGTGGTAGAGTGTTCCACGTGTATGGGTATTGAGGTGTTTGCTGGGGCATCCCCCCTGATGTGGTTGGAGTCATCTGGCTTGTGGCCCATAAATATTGGCCATAGAGGTTTATGCATGCTATCATGCCCTCTATTACCATTTGGGCCAAGTCCAGGGAGGTTTTGGAGACGAATGATTACCTCCTGGTTATTCACCAGCATGGTTCTACAGCCCCGATTCGAGCCATGATTGAGGTGGAGTGAATGGGTTCGGTGTATGGGAGCTGTAGACGACTAAGTATGTTTTTGGTGGTGGGATGTGGTTCTGCATGGTTAGTGAAGCAAGAAAGTGAAGATTGGGTGGTCTGTATAGTAGTTGTGATGGGCACTGTTGATGAGTTCTTAAGGGAAATATGGGTGCATTGTGCCTTTGCATTTGTAGTGGCTGAAGTATTGGAGTGATCAACAATCAAACTTTGTGTGTGATAAGCAACTGGTAATAATGATTTGTCAGTATTAGTAGGCGTAGGCGAGGGTGAGAGAGGCGGTGGTTGTGTAGAAGAAGAAGCATAGTCTTGTTTATTGGGCTTCACAC